CACTGTGTATCCAAGGCCTCCATGATAGCAGCAAAGCTGTGTGATGTATAGAATATGAAAATCTAGTATTTATGAGATAGAAGAATAGGAAAGACACTTTTTCTTTCGAAAAACCATCATCATGACACAGTTTCATGTCATTATGTTGAAATTATTAGGTTACAATGCAATTTTATCGTTGACTACCTATGAATTAATAATTTCCTTCACAAACATTGATCTGAAATATGTCTCTTAGTCTACATACAAAATGTATCCATATAGTTTTGCATTTATAGCATAGGAAACAGATTATCAAGTGAATTCAATGAATTGGTGTTCATTTGCAAATAAAATTTGGTTCATGAATCTAACTCAGAAGACAGGAAGATTATTCTGGAATTTTTTTAAATACTAAGATTAACTTTTGAATTAGCATAGAGTAGGAAGTAAATTTGCGAATTTCAATTTGAGTCAAAAGCCAAACCCAAGAACAGAAGTGTGCTGAGAAGGAGGAGAATTGATAACTCTTTAGTTATCTTTCTCTTTGGTTTGTCTTGTTGAGATGACTTATTCAGGAGCCCAGACTGACCAAAACCAGCAATCCTCCTGCCTCAGCCTCTTTAGTGGTGGGATTTCTGGTGTGAGCCCCTCCACTGGTTGGGTCACTTCATGGGTATTCTCAGAGCACCAGTGAAAGCCCATCCTTATATTTTCTTTTGAAATCAGTTTCATTCTGATGATTTTTTCTTTCAGTTCCACAATGATCTTTGCATCTCTATCTACCTACCTGGTGTACACTTAAGAGATTTGAGAGTAACCAAAACTATTAGATTTTATATCTTTTATATCCTATCCATATATCACATTTTCCTCTGAGTTTAATCAAGCAGCATGATTTCTTTATCTCAAGAAAAGGAAACACTATAATTTACATTTCATAAAAGTTTCAGAGAAATTTACTTCAATTAGAATGTTTCAAAATTAAATCTTCAGGTTTGTAAAATTTGGATAGTGCATGCTAGCAAAAGTATTTAGCTGTTTTTTTTTAAGCTAACCTATACTTATGCACAAGATGGCCTAATTTCTAGAGTCTAAAGTCCTGGGGACAAAGAACATCTGCCGCTGTGACTCTATCAAGTGCAGAGCACTTTTACACATGGTCTCTTGTTTCAAACCTCCAAAATCCCAGGCTGCACAGTGCATGTTTCTCTGTCTTATTAACACTAGAGGAAACTAGAGATAAGTTTGCTTCGGTGACTTATCCTATTTCCTTAGGGTTGTTACAGACAGATCTAGGGTAGAGTTTGCGACTGATTTCAGCTCTGCTCTCCAAAACTGAACACAGGAGAAACAGTAAAATGTTTTTCAAAGTACTATTTCTGTTGACATCTAAGGTTTTCACACCATGGCCAACACCCCGCAGCCACCTTTCCTGAGCATCATGAGCCACAGTGTCAGACTTCCCCATAATGTTTGTGCTTGTGTGATGGAGACAACACAGAGCATGGAATGTATGAAGTCTTGGTCCCTCTGGTTGGTTCTCCAGCTCACACAATTATCACAGCCCCTAGCATTCCTCACAGATGACTGAACGTTTTCCTACCCACCTCCAACACGACAGTCTAAGCCGACTGTCGATAGCCATGAAAAGACAGCTTGGAGTTCAGAGGTAGTTCTGGTAGCAGCTGCCATGCCACAGTACTGTGTCAGCCTGAGGGTTCTCTCCTGGGGCACCTCTGGGAGCCATGGCCTGCACAGAGCACACATGCAAGGCACACTGTAGCCATTCTGCATCACTAACTTATAATCCTATATGTCATGCTCACATTCCAGATGTGAGTCTTCAAACACACTTTCAGATATATTGTACATTAAAATTGCCAGTGACTGAATTCTGTCACCTCAGAGTTTGAGGAATAGAAAGAGTAGGGACACATGATAGATTTGAAATCTGAATGTTAGAGTGATAGCATAAATAAGCTATAAAATGCTGTATATTGACATTATTCTTTCAAGAATGTACTTCTGCAAGGACAGGGGAAACTATCCAGGCAATTGATCTGATATTTTCTTTGATCCATCATGTTTTCATTGCATTTTGCTACTTTTTAGCTCTGAGATCCAAAGTGTGGTTAAGGTCAAGTTCCCAGAATTGTTTGCTACCAACATAATTGGTAAGGGCACTTGACCTTGGCATTGGTGACATTTTAGAGCAAGTCGAAATTTTTCCCAGCATGTTTCGTCTTATAATAGCATGGTTCCAGTTCCTGGGAAAGATCTAAGTGTTCATAAGTGGTGTTTAGCATCTGTTATGGGGCTTAGAACTCAACTGTCAAGTAGACCATGATGGCAAAAAGAAATTTTTTACTAAGGAAGAGTACATTTTGTTTGATTCAGGAGATATATAAAGCATCTTGGGAGATTTTGGTGCATATTCTCAGAACTGGTTTTCATGTACACATTTTCCTTCATATTGGCCATGACCAGATAGATATTTGTATGTATCTAATGACCCTATTTTTCTGCTGAACATGGCCAGTAATTTTTTTTTAATTTTTGACTCCTTGGCCTCTCATCTGGTCTGCAGTCCTTTTTGTTCATCTAGATAATAACTGTGTCCACCCACAAGGTCTTTAAAGTTGACCACAATGGATAAAGAAAGAGTATAAACAGTAGCCTTTTGAGAAAGATTTTCTTTTACACAACTGTTCTCATGGGAAAATACTATGAGCTGTTCATATTCTAGTATTTGATAATGCCATTCTTTAAAGCCCCCTGGGTTCACTTAATGCTTTTAGTATGTGCAGGGGTATAGAGGCAGCCTCTTGGGGGCACAGCCTTAAAGAAAACAGAATCAATTGCCAACACCCCTCAGTTAGAGACAAGACTTTTGGGACACCTCCCTACTCCATGCTTGGATTTTATCTGGCTTGCTCTCCTGTAGGTGTTGTACATGCTGTCGCAGCTATTGTGTGTTCATAGGTACAGCTGACCTGTTGATTCTGGGAATTACTGTTTCACTGTAGTTATTTACTACTTCTGGCACCTGCAGTCTTTCTGCCCTCTCTTCAGTAATGATCCCTGAGACTTGGGAGGAAAGGGTATGGTAGAGACAGCTCATTTAGAGTTGAGCACACTGTAGTTTCTCACTGTCTTTACATTGGCCAGTTGTGGGTCTCTGTGTTAATTAATGACATTATTTATAACAATATCATCATGCTGAAATTACTATTTTCACAAAAGTTAGGCTTCATATTAAGATACTGACTCCTCACCTAGCACTAGATTATTAATTTTTGAATGGTACTAATAAATTTGAAGAAATATTTGCAAACATGTCCCAAAGTCACCACCAAAGTTCACTAGCAATCCTATTTGCCCTTCACTGGGTGTGATTTCTTTCTTTGAGACTCAGAGCAAAGAAACGATGATGAAGTCACCACTCTGAGTCCTAGAGTCGTGCTTTAACTTTAGTCAACCATGTAACGTCAGAATGAAAATAATTGTTTCCTTGTTTTTTTCAACTTTAGGGATCTTAGCAACATAATCTGAGCCTACAGGAGGAAGAGTTGACAGCAGAAACTCAAGACACACTGCATTCAAATATATTCCTGGCAAATTTAAGCTTGAGATTTAGTGGGGTGCTGGCATTTAGAAAATCAGATGCAATGCAGCTAATTATGCAAAATGGTTGTTTCCAATCTATCATTCATCACAATTCTGTCCAAATCTGAGATTACTTATTTATCAACAAAAAGAAAGAGCTCACCTGCCCTGATCTTTCCCTTCCTGTGAAAACCTAGTGCTTTCATTTTTATTCATTTATTTATTTGAAATAGAAATATAATGACATCATATGCCCCTTCCCTTCTTCCCTCCAATCCTTCCAATGCAGCTCCCTTAGCCCCTCTTAAAGAGCACCAAACCCAAGCTATTGAAAGGTAATTTGCAATTAATTCTCAAGATGGCTATTGGGTGTCAGTTTGGGGGTTGGGGGTAAGCAGTCATTCCAGTAACAAACTGCAGTCCCCCTTGGTTCTAATGAGCATTCTTTGCTCACTGTAGATACATAGCACTCCTCCCTGTTGCCCCAAATCTATGACATGATGCCATTGCCCTGATGTTTCTCATCTTGACATTAGCTCTAAACAAGTTTCTCATTTCCTGTCATTCAGTGCAACCAGTGTCAAAGTATTTCCTGCTGTAGCAGGCCTCCTTCCTTAGGATTTCCTCATGGCTCCCTGTTTGGAGCTTTGCTCCACAGTAACACCTTTCCCAGGCTATAGGGAAGGTTGTAAATAAGGCTTCACACATTCTAAAATGCCAAAACACTCATAACCACCAAGTGTAAATAAGCCAGTTAGCTAGAGCATTTGGATCCTGCAGAGGGAGGCAGACTAAATGCAAATGCTTCACTTTGGTTAGCCAGAGGGAAAGGAAACTGGATACAGAAACCTTGTCCTTAAACATCTGCTTGTCTCAGGGGTAGTGGCCACTGTCCATCCACTTTGCCTCATCCATTGTCCAGGGCAAAGCCTGCGGATGGCAACAATTTCTAGTTCCGTTTTCAAGAGTGAAGGTCTTCAGGAAGACATCCAGATGACTTCACTATGGGAGTCTATTCACTCCCTCACCATTTAGAATCATAATTTGTCAACTATATCAAAATGATGCAAGGACTTTTAAGATTGTCCATCCATCTGATTCCTTGGGTGAGGAGACAGGCTGCATTAATCAGGTTCTAAGAAAAAAAAATGTTCCCCTGGTCCTGTTTGGTGTGGACTTATTTGAGAAACCCCAGCATCCATCCAGTGACATCAGCTTTGGGAGCAGAGCAAGGCAGCTGCATAGGGTGATAAGCTGATTAGCCTGGCACATTGCTGCCATTTGGTTATTCATTTGCTTTTTATTTCTTTTTGGAGATTTCAATCATTATGCCCTTCCATTCAAATATTCTTGGATAAAATACTGTTTGGATGTTGGCTGAGTCTTAATGTACCCATGTTCATTTATTTCAGCTGGGTCCCGAGCCTCGTACAGCAGCCAGCATGGGCACCTGGGCCCTGAGCTTCGAGCCCTGCAGTCCCCAGAGCACCACATAGACCCCATCTATGAAGACCGAGTCTATCAGAAGCCCCCTATGAGGAGTCTCAGCCAGAGCCAGGGGGACCCTCTGCCGCCAGCGCACACTGGCACCTTCCGTACGAGCACAGGTGTGTACTGGGGAAACACTGTGGACTGCCCATTGGGCATGGGGTTATGGATCTCCTTGGAAGCCAAATAGTTGTTCCCAAATGAAAGTTTGTGTGTTTATGTGTGCACGCACGTGTGTATGCTTCTATCATCAGTATTTTTGTTGATGATTCAGAGTATAACTCCAGTTTAGCTACCTACTTATACTATGAATGATGGAAGTACAAAGGGAATTGTAAAGTTACTATAACAAGTAGAAAAACCAAAAAACAAACAAGAAAAAAAAACATAATTGATGTTTTCTGTGCCTTAGGTAGTTTATTTAATGAATATAAGTGCTCCACAAAAGCAGTGAGTAGCCCTGTCATGAAATATAGATCATTACTTTGGTAAGTCAGTTTTAATGATGTAGTCTACCTTTTAGCAAGCTTGGAGATCAAAATATTTGTTAGAAATGTGACATATTTTGAAAGGTAGATTTAGAATGTGTTTCCTACACACTGATAGACGAAACCATTGTGAATTGTTATTTAAATGCTGGAATTGGATAATTGCTGAAAACTCAATAAACCATGTAGCTCTCCAGGATTAAATATATATTTTTAATTGTACATAACCACAGAACACGTGGGGAATGACAAGTGTTTCCTATGACCTGCAGCCATCTGTAAAATAATCTAAGGCTATGCTTGTGTTCCTAATGACACCGACTTTAGTGATAAATAGAGAAAAATTAGAGAGTTGTTGAGCAGCACATTCATTCTAACACCTCTGTCTCCCAGGAAGGCAGCAGAACTGTCTTGTGGGTTAGCTGCAGGTGAAGCTTACCCCTGCTGTGCATGCTGAGAGCCATGGCCTACGTGTGTGGGACAGCTGTCCCATTGGTCCAAAACTTAACTGATGTCTCTGTTACCTCAGAGCATTGTAGCTTCTAGTGACCACTGAGTACAGTGCAGTGACCTTGTTAAACAGCGTGTGATGCTGAATTACATGTTTTGGAGTCAAGGGACGCTGCTGTTGTGGTTGATTATGGACATTTACATTTCAGCAACCCACAGCATTGAAAGAGGAAAGGCTCAATATTCTCCTAGTGACTCCATGAATGCCATTCAATGTTAATAATATACATTTAGGCTTAGATAAAGAAGAACACTGATTTCTCCCTGTCAGGCGTCTCACTCTCAGCCTGCTGTGTCTGCTGCTGTCTCAGGCTGGGCCACTTGAATATTTCTTTCTGTGCAAATTATCAATTAAGATAATTTTATTTCCATGTATATACCTTGTGAAAAAAAAAAAAGGTGACAACCTCAGTGGTGTTGGACACTTAATTTGAATAAAAACAGACAGCAAAAGAAGTCTATTGAGTCCCTGTTCTATACATCTCTTTAGGATTGTGTTTTGTTAGTAAACTTCTGAAGGTTTAGTCAAAAATTAGCATTTTTATGGCTTGCATTTCAAGCCATAGAAAATGTGCAGACTTAAATAAAAGGAAGCTATTTCTGTCGGTTACTTCTCTTTTTTTTATTACTGGGACAAATTACCCAGCCCCCATCTCCCATAAAAAAAAAAAAGAAAAAACACCTTAGAAGATAAAAGAGTTTATTTCTGCTTATACTTACAGAAGGGACACAGCCTATCATGACTGAGGAGGCAGGCATGGTGGCAGGAAGCTGGCTGATACACAGGAAGTAGAGAACCAGAGCAGAAACAGGAAGTAAGACGAGGCTATAAACCCTCAAAGCCCACCTACAGTGACACACTGCCTCCAACAAGGCTACACATCTTCAAGGTCCCACAGCCTCCCATACTCTACCAACCGAGAACCAAGTGTTCAAACCTATGAGCCTAACAGTAGTATTTCTCACTCAGATCACCTACGGTTTTATTTCCTAAAGCTTAGAAAGTCTAAGCCTGTGATAGGCAGACAATGGCCCGCAGGCCAAATCCAGCTTGCCACTTGTTTCAGTGACAAACAAGAGCTAAGACTGATTATTATGTGTTTCAGTGATGAATAATGTTTTCTGATAGGTGGCAGTGATGTAAAATTGAAATTTTAGTGTCCATGAGTAAAGCTTTGGATGGAGCCCTCACTCATACCTTTAAATGTCCCCTACAGCTGCTTTGGGAGTGCAGAGGCTGTGACAGACCCCATGCAGTTCATAGACCCTGACTTTTTGCAGAATGTTTACACACCTATTCCCCAGCACCAATGGAGAGACATCTTGAGCAAAGGAATGCTGTGCTTTTCTCCCTCCTTTGAGGGCAACCAACAGTCTCCTCGAAATGCTTTAAAGGGACTATTGCAATAACAACCCTGACAGGGACCTGGCAAGATGTAGGAGTCAGAGGTTTGACACCACATAGCAGCTGGCACAGGGGAACTTGACACAGTTTTGAGCAAGTGTGATGATTCACACATGCTGTGAGCAAGCGTTTCTAAAGGCTCATAGAAGAAGGAAGAGGAAGTGAAGCCACAAACCTCAAGACACAAGACTCCAACCCACCCCTGCCCAGGAGGCCTTGTGCCTGTATCTGGCCTGCTTCATGCCCTCCCACTTTTCTAACTGCAGAACCCACTCCTTTAGAGGCTGAATGTTTAAGATGATGCCTTTAATACACACATATACATACATACATACACACACACACACACACACACACACACACACACACACACACTACTCCTATATTAGAGGCATGTAAAATAATATTAAGTTGTATCTAGTATAACATATACCCCCAAATAGAAATTATTAAAAAAGCAGAAGTTAAAAATAAGTACAAAACAGCTAGAAGGAAATATTCTAAGATTACTTCTTTGTATCCATGGTCATTTTATTCATATTCCTTGTGATGTGCACACCCTGTGTCCAGAGACCACTGAAACTGAGCTAAGACACTTCCAGGGCAAAAATAACCTTGCCCCCTAGGAGAAGGGGCCACAATCTAACAAGGCCCTTAGGTTTGAGGTACTTCCTTAACAATTCTTAGCTCAGATTGATGGCTGATGTGACATGAGCAAGCATCCTTACCTCCCTGCCTTTCAGCGACAGGGAGCCAGCTGCAGCTTATTCATTTCTGTCCCCCCCCCCCCAAACAATTCAGACACTAACAAAACAGAAAGCTCCTCACTCTCGCTGCCTGCACCCACTCTGGAAATAAAGATAAGGGGAGAGTGCATCAGTGATTGGGGAATGAGCACCTGGTGCTGAGAGCCAAGGGTGAGGTCTTAAGAGCGAAAGCAGATAACACATAGACACTTTCAGGGACAATCTTTGGTGCATTTCATGTAGTTACTAATACTGTGGCTGGGGTGCAGTTTGATGTTTGTTGTGTCCCTCATAAAGCAGACATGGAGATGTTGGATCCAAAGTTACTAGGGTAATTTGGAGATAGTCTTCGAAGTGTCACTTCTAGGCTTTCTTGTCTTAGATCCTGCTCTTGTTTAACCCCTTGTTTATAAATACCATTTGAGAGCAAAACAGATTCATTTGTTATTCATGACTTTGGATATTCTGTTATTAAAAAGGTATCTACTGAGATCTACTGGACACACTGGCTGATCAGAGTGGCTTATAGGCTACTGCTTGTCTTTGAGCACATTCCATATCATGAAGTATCCTGAACATGGAAGAAATTGTGTAACAAAGGATAGGAATGCCTCAACGGTCAGTGTCGTGGATCTGTTTTCGACTAGCTTGGTCTCCCAAGCATTTTAGGAACTCAATGGCAACTGTCTCCTTCTCCTTCCCTCTTACATGCTAACCTCATCTCTCAGCCACCTTGGTGCTTGACTACAGCTGACCTAAATAATAAGCCACTCATGAGCAGAGAGATTTGTAGGAAGATAACTGAAAAATAAACAAACAAAACCAAAAATAATGCCTGCAGATGTTGAAGGGAAATCATGTCAAGACTATGAACTTCCCCATTATAAGAGATGTCCCAGGATTTTCTCTTGTTACTCACTTATCACTCACTTTTCTCATTCTTTCCCACCTCCTTTCTCTCTTTCCTTTCTTCTCAGCTTCTAGATATAAACCACACATTTCCGTTACTTTTATATTACTTTTATGTGGGCACTAAGTCTCAGATGCAAGCTTAGATAGTACCACCTTTCTACTTTTGCATATTCAAAAAGTCCCATGAACTCCAGAGCTACTCATAGGCTACCTAACTCTCTGGTGGTTGACCTCATGAATATGTGTTTAGATACATTCAGGTTCATGTTGGAGCATCAAGAAGCCCAGTTTTCCCTCTTCATCTCTCCTCCACTATGGGCTTGTGGATGGTAAAACACACAAACAATCCATTTTTCACAAAGGAAATGTTTGGATTCTACAAAACCAAGCAGATGAACAATCCATTAAAGCCATACCAGATACTGTGTTCTCCATCACCCCTTACTGAAGCCTCAACTCCAGACATTGTCTTGCCCCAGGCAACCAGGCCACTGCAGGGCAGAGCTTGCTCTCTCTTCCACCCAACCTAGCAGAACCATTCAGGCTGTAAGAATGACTTTGGCAGCCTCACTGGTCCCAGATGTGTTATAAGTGCAAGTAGAGATATCTGAATCAGTAGTGGCTCCTAGTCAACTAGGTTGCCAGGGAGTGTCCCATCACCAAACATAAGAACTCTTCCTCTCTTTGAGGACCTATAAATGTGGGTGTTGAGATAAAAGGAAAAGAAAGTCACGTACTGGCAAATGACAAAGTTAGGCTGGAAGATAATTCCTTGAATATAGCTGTCTTCATACCTACATCACATTGGTAGACAGAGCAGTGCTGAAAAGAATTGACGCCAAGGATGATTCATCAACTGAGCAGTGAATACAATATTATTTATAATTTTCACACAAGGGCTTAACAGCACCAGAGGTTGAAACTTAAGAACAATTAAGATGTCAGCAGAAGATATACCTTGTGGACCTATAATTGCAGGCTAGAAGCTTGTGACCCCCATTGTAGACATTGTCTATCAATTCAAATGGCTAGAAAGCTATAGAATTTATTTGTATGGC